AGCCCCTGAACTTTGATCCTGAAATTTGGATCTGGCAGCAACACTATCTTACCTGAAGATATCTGAAGAAGTGAGCAGTGACTCATGAAAGCTCATCCCCTGCCACAAATTTTGTCAGTCTTTAAGGTGCTACTGGACTCTTGCTCTTTTCTATTGCTACAAACAAATTGGGATGCAGAGTGCATAGGAAGTCTTTTGGCTGGATGCAGCTGCCCTCTGGTTCTCCCTAAACTCTGATACTCCCAGCAGTGTGGCAGTCTTAAGGATGCCACCAAATGCTTGGTTGTTTTGGGGGCACAGACAGCACCGTTTTTTTACCAGCCACTTTCCTTCCAACAGCTTACCTATTGCACTGGCAGTGTCCCACAACAAGGCAGAATTTTGTCTGAAAAACCATTTGCTCAAACTTTTGCAGGTCGTTTTTTGGGGGAAACCAACCCTGATTTTTCAAGAGTTGTATGTAGGAATATTGCCGGCAATTTTATTTTAACTCATTGGTCTGCTTGTTAAAGAAGCCAGCTTGACTCCTTTTTGGAAAATCTGTGGCTCCTCTAGGCCTGAAGGTTACTACAGAGATATAAGATTTGAATTGTGGAAAGAGATGGACGGCCAGTGCAAGAGAAAGCAAGGAGGAAATAAAAAGGAAGAGGAGGAAATACGAGTCTGGAGGGGTGGGACCAGCATGATGTGTATTCACATAAGCTGTCATTCATTACAAATGGTAAGAATGCGCTAAAGCATTCTTGCTCTTTCACTTTCCCTTGTAATATTTCTCTCTAATCCTTTCTTGGTTGTCTGAAACGTTCTGTTTCTTGGAACAGTCGCTCGACGAGCTGGAAAACGAGAAACAAGAATACAGAAAGGGAAACGTCTTGACTTATGTGACTCTAAATGGTTAACAACTGCAGGGCATCATGGAAAAGGAGGTGGGGGTATGCAGATCACTAGCCAATGCCTGTCCGAGCCCTGGCATTCAAAATTGTGAAACTGACAAAGGGAAGAGAATCTACAAGTTAGGACAGCAAACTTTTTTTCAGGAGACTGAGTACCTGGAGGTAGGAAGAAGATTAGAGTCCATGCTCTTAACCACTACACCAAACTGGCTCTCTTGCTCCAGTGAGAAAGAATAAATTCCTTTGGTCGTTGGGTCCTGCTAGGAACTGTATGCGGGGAAAGGTCGTCAACTCTGGCTTGGGAAATTCTTGAAGATTTGGGGGTTGGAGCCTGGGGATGGCAGATTTTGGCAACGGGAAGAAGCTCAGCAAGGATGTGATTCCGTATAGTATACCCTCTGAAAATGCTACTTCCTCCAGGTGAAGTGCTCTCTGTTGCCTGGACGTCAGTTATCATTCCGGAGAACTCCATACCCCACCTAGAGGATGGGAACACTGACGAGGGATCAGGATGCTCTCTTCTTCTGCAGTCTAGTAGAACTTGTTGCCCTAGTAGGATTATTGCAGATCTGGTCTGCTTATAGAGCTTATCACCCAGTCACCTCTATGTCAGGTGAGATGGGACCATTTTTCCTTCCCAGCGATGGCAGTTTCAGAGAGGGACTGAGCTCCCCCTCCCAATGTAGATTCCCACTTAGAATGGATTCTTCCTAGCAGTCTCTTGGTGGTCTCTGCCCTCCCCCCCATCTTATTCTCCCCTCCAAGGAGCCAGACAGGTACCCAACTCTGCCTGTTGCTAAGCAACACCTCACAGACTCTCCACAAAAGCACTCCCTTCACAAAGGCAACGTTGTTAGATCTGTCATTTCTTAAATAATTATGGTTATTTATTATTCCATATAATCAAATTATTAACTAGATGATAAGGATCATTCCAGTGGTTTTCCTTTGTCATTGTTCAAGTCATGGAAACAGAGGGTAGAAGCGGATTTTCAGTCTTCTCTGGGTAACCCTGGTAGAACAGGGATGTGTGTATTCTATAAAGGGGGAGGGATACTATATTATATTGGGTGCAAACAATCTTACACTTTTTTAAAAAGCAAAAGCTCTGATTCTTCAGGTGCTGAATTATTCCTACAATCACAGATATCTTTGAAAGCCTAGAGGCAATGATTGGTAAATTCTTGGAAAACAGAGGAATTGTCCAGTGGGATTTAAACTGCAGGGGTTTTCCTGTTTTTCAGGACTTCTTGTGATAACCAGACTAATATGCAATCCTATTTCACCCTTCTGAACCCATTAACTTCAGAGGACTTAGAGCAGTGTCACATTGTTTAGAATTATACTGTAAATGATAGAAAATCGAGAATCAATGCAACATTGCTTGATTTCATAATATGTACCCATAAGATCTAACGTTTTTTGGTTGCAGGTTTTTTGCTGCTGCAGTTTTTGTTGTTGCAATTTTTTCCTGTTGGTACCTAAGACAGAATATTGTGTTTTAAGTGAAACTAGACCCAGTCACTTACCTATGATTGATTTGATTCGATTTACTGCTGTTCAGGAGAAAGTCTGGTATGGTGTTATCTGCAACAAGTGGATATGTTTTTGGAGGACAGTATTCGCTAATATATCTGACAAATTGCCTAAAGGTAAAGGTAAAGGTTCCCTTGCTCGAAAGCCAGCCGAGTCTGACTCTAGGGTTGCGGTGCTCATCTCCGTTTCAAAGCCGAAGAGCCAGCGCTGTCCGAAGACGTTTCCATGGTCATGTGGCCAGCATGACTAAACACCAAGGCGCACGGAACGCTGTTACCTTCCCACAGAAGTGGTACCTATTTATCTACTTGCAATTTCTTGCTTTCGAACTGCTAGGTTGGCAGGAGCTGGAACTAGAGACGGGAGCTCATGACTAAATACCTCTGGTATGTTCTTTCACAGTTTTAATTCTTCTGATGAGGTCATTGGGCCCTGGAGGGATTTTCTGAACAGGTTTCAAAAAGAATACTTTCCAAGTACTTTTAGAACCTGCCAGAAGACTGAATTGCAACATCTTTTCTGGTCAAGGAATACTCCCAATAATCATGATTTGTAATCTCTTGATTATAGGAAACAGGTGTGCTAAAGAGTACAGAAATGACAAAAGACTGTAGGTACTGATGCTGGTATACAGAAAAATCCCAAAACAAGAATTGTGTAATTGCTTTTTATTCAGCCCAACCAAAATATCACACAGTAGTAAGCTTTCAAGCACTCCAGAATTCTTTATCAGGCTGAATGTTCAGTTAAAACAAAAGAATGGGGTAAAGGAGAGAATAAAATCTTTTACATTTTTGACAAGCCTTTATTGGCATATGTATATACATACAATAGAATAAAATCTTTATTAATGTTATATGGCTAGCTGAGTTACTAAAAGTTAGTTTTAGGGTTTCATGGAATATCTCTTCAGGTTCATAGCTTTATAAAAAAATTTTTTAAAAAGCCCCACAAACCCAAGATAAAAAAGAGGTAAAGATGTGGCTAGTAGGAGCATGTCTGTAACAGGAGACACTGTTAAGAACATCCATCCAAAAGCGGTTTGTAGACTAATGATGTTAGACTTAATAGACACAACTAATTTAAAGAGTGTAGCCTTTCTTTCTGCAGAACCCATCCTGAATCGCTATGAATCCTCCTGTCCACGTTTACTCGGGTAAAACCCATAGATCTTTCAGAAGCAGCACTTACAGCAGCCTGTTGCGCGTTTACTTAAAGAGTAAACACGCAACAGGCTGGTGCAGCGGATCAGTGGGGGGAGGGACATTCCGTAAGTATCAGTTAGCCTTGCCCTATGAAAACTAAAGAGCCAATCAATAAATGAAATCCACCACGAATAAAAAAAGTTCGTTCTGTCTCTCCAGGAGGAGTCTTCATTCCTCTGCACAAAAACCAGCGAGGGCAAAAATCTGAAGACGGGAAGAGCCTCAGCGACGGCAACATGACTATGCTCTCTGGTTTCCGGGTTTCTCATGGCGCCCGCAGAAACGGTTGTCAAGAGCAACGCGCGACGCCGTTTTTTCCCCCGGCGGCCGCTGCGAGAGTTTCAAAAAAAAAGTCGACTCGGCTGCGAGGGGCTTCGACGCGTCCATGTTCCATCGAGAGGGGGCCCAGCCAGGCCTCGGAAGGGCGGAGAGGGAGAGTGGAGGAGACTAGAATTTCCAAGGAGGGGGTGCATTTAATGGACGCCTTAACTGTAGTTTCTTAAAAAGAGGGGAAGACGTGCTGTGTAGGGGCTGGGGATCTGTGGGGAAGCCGCAGTCAGGACAAACAGCTCCAAATGTGGGGCGGGGAAAGAGGCCTGCAGAGACGCACTAGTGCTGGGGAGGAGCGTTTAGAGTAAATGGGATTTATCAAGGTGGTCCCTGGTAGAGAGTTGTAGTGGTGGCTGGGTTGTCATACAGAGTGAAACTTCAAAGAATGTGTATTTGGGAGGGGGAGAAGTCCTGGGATCTAAATTTAATAGTCTTTAAAGAAAAGAGGGCTGAAGAGCAGTGTTCTGATCTTGGGGCTAAGTAAAAGTTCCTGTGCAGTTTCAAAGAGAAATGATTAGCCATGTGGCTGTGTGAAGGTACTGGTGTCAGAAGTGGATCTGAAAGCATCCCAGAGTGTAACAAGGTCTTCATTGTGGCAGGTGCTGCTTTCTGGGAACAGAGAAGAGGCAGATGAGCTAGCCTTGGCTAGAGATGCTTGAGATATCAGAAAGCGTCAACCAATAGCCTTGTTGCATGATGCACAGAGACGCTGATGCATAAGGTTCCATGCAGTGTCTTGATCTGATTAGAGAAGTTTGGCTGCTTTGTGCACGCCTTGGATGATGCAGTTTTATTCACTTCTTTCATGTCAGAGCTAGGTGTGCAAAGAGCATACATCTTTGCACTAATCCTTGTTAGCCAAAAGATAGTATGAATGAGGTTTGCTTGTCTTATGCTTTTTGCTAGCTGGCTCAACCCAAAAAAGTAAGAGCAATTCTGCAGTCACTGCCTTGGAGGCTGCATGGGGACAGGATCAGCTATAGCTGGGGCCTGTTGAAAGAGCTGTTTGACAAGACGGCTGAGCAGCGACACAAAGATGCCGGCAAACCCAAAAACAGACCCTCGTTACTTTGTCCTGGTCAAGCCTTTGCCCATCCCAACCCAGAAAGGTCGGAAGGTCCAGGCACGAAGCAGCACCGTCTACAATTGCTGGGACAACACAAGAGAGCAAGTTTTCCGGGAGAACTATCACAGGAGGGCCAAACAGCTTACGCAGCAAGGCTACTTTACCCCCAGTTGGAGACCTTATCAAGATTTTGGAGAGCCTCTTTACCTCGAACCAAAGAAACTCACCCTCCATGGCCTGGGACAACTGCCCCCGGTAGGTGTGCTGTTCTTCCAATATTTTTCCATTTTGGGGTGTTTTCGATAGTAGTTATTGGGCCTCCTTGTGGCAAGGATGTTTTGTTGGAAAGCATCAGACCATAATTATTAAAAGACCAGACAAAAGGTTGGCCTGGAAACAGGCCCTCTGTCGCTAAGATGGCGGTGATCGCACCTTTGTGGTATACTAGCCTCCTCTACTCGTAGCTACTTTCTTCTGTGGAGGTGCTTTAGGAAGGGGGAATTTCATGCAAATGCTCCTTTGCATCCTGATTCCACTTACTCCTCCAGACCTCCACCTTGTTGAGACCCCAAGGCTTCAGTGCTTGAGGCTGGGACCTAATCTAGTGAGCCTTCTTTGCATGCTTTGGCCTCAAAGTTCTCTTTAGGTTTAGAGGAAGTAATGGTGCCAGCTACTGTGAGTGGCAGGCAGTATGAAGTCTCTGGATTGGTCAGCTCTGGAATAAATACTAGGAGCATGGCCTTCTGCTTCTAGCCTTGTGGATCTCTTGGGTGGTCCTTCAACCATGAACTTTGATATGGCCACCACTGGTGCCAGCTGGCCCTGGCATCTCTCCTGTGACTAACAGAGTTGGAATACTTTTCAGAACACAGCGTTTCCAGTCTTGGAGTGTTGTCTTGGGCAATATCTTTTTGTTATACCCCCCTTGCCATTCTGGGGCTGCCCCAAAATGGCCCAACGGAGCCATCTGAGCATTTGTTTAAGAACTGTGAGATGTCCCAGTTTGGTTTTAGAATCATGCTGCCTTCTCTCCAGAGATGGGCACATGTTAAGCAGGCAGTTCTGATTCATTGCAAGTCAAGGAATGCTGCTTCTCAAACAGCATTTTGGTTACCTGACTGTTTCCAAGCTCTGTGTTTTAAAAGGTCTGATCTGATTCTTTAGCAAGGCTCTGCGTGTGTGTTTGGAGAGTTAATTGCCATGGCAAATTCATCTGCCAAACCCACAGGGTGGCTTGTTGACTTAAAGAAAAGAGACCTTTTTTTTTGATCACTCAAAACAATTCTGTCCTTTCCAATATGTACTTCCACTGTTGCCCCTGCCCTGCTTTCTACTTATAATAGGACTCCCTTGGGTAATTATGTGCTGTACATAAAGCAGATGTGCAATGAGATGGATAACTGTATCCACCCACAAAGAAACCGTAGAAGAAAATGAAGTCATTGCTGTTGCCAGCATTTGCATTAGTGTTATGTGGCTCCTGTAGCTAAAGACCTTCAGGGGCTGCTGTTAAAGATTGCATAGATACCTCCCTGTAGACTCCAGGCTGGCAGCTAATCTATGCAGAAGGGGGGAGTGGGCAACAGGGGCTTCACTTCTCATAAGCCCGCAAGATACTGGCAAAAGACATTTTAACCCATTTCTTCGCAGTGTGATAGCAACAGAGGTGCCTCAGTTGTGTTCTCCCATAATGCACTTCAGTGCTTGCGCATCTCTTTACCTTCCTTTGTCTTGTATAGAGGAGTGGACAGCTGAGGTGCATATAATGCTGAGGGCTTCACCCAAAGCCTTTGCGGCAGGTCCTTGGCCTTACTCTGAGCTCACACGGGAGAAAGATGCCGAGCTGTTTAAGGGGTAGAGATCTAGGGGTCAAGAGCTATGTTGGGAGCCCTGATAAGAAGGCCTTGTGGACAGGGAAATTAAAGTGGAAACCGGGATTTAAAATTTTCATTGGTTTCATGCCCTTCCTTGTGTTTTCCTTCCTTGCTTTCTGTTCTAGAGGGGGCGCTACCATGCGTAGATAAAAAGTTGCCCACCCAGAATTCTTCCTGAAAGACTGTCACTGCTTTCACACACGTTGGAATAATGCGCTTTCAGTGCACCTAACAAATAGCTTGCAACTGGATCCACTTGCAAATGGTTGCTAAAGTGCATTGAAAGTGCATTATCTGACTTGTGTGGAAAGCAGTTGAGTTAAAGGAAGGAGCTGTGGCTTTCATCAGTGATAAAACACTTGCTTTGCATGCAGATGGTCCTAGGTTCAGTTCCCAGCAGTTACACGGATCAGGCTGTGAGTGAAGTGAAAGCTCTCTATGTGAGCATCTGGAGAGCCACTGCCGGTCAGAGTGGACAGTACTGACCTTGATAGACAAAGGCCTGACATGGTATAAGGGGGCTTCCCGTGACTTAAAAGCCTCACTTACTGAATTCTCCAAATGGGTATTCTCAGCCTGGAAAGGGTTTTGCTTCTATCATCGCCATAAACCCACTGGGCATGTCTTCCTCAGGCTCAGTTTCCTGGTCTGTTGAAACTTGGAAGTAACCGTGTTTCCCGCATATGATTCTTGTGTGGATTAATGCCACCCCTCCCCCCCAAAAGCTGTCAGACACTTTGCTGAATATAGAGTTGAAGAACTTTTGTTCTATGGTAGACACGTACTCTGGGGATCCTTGGCTGTTGCCATGGCTCCATGGGAAATGTGACTGAGCATATCTGCTGCAAATGTATCTGTTGGTTTTAGATCGGTTTAACTCTGTCTTATAAACGGACACATGCCGACCCTCCAGCATTGGATTCAGAATTCCTCCTGGGCAACCGGGCAGGGAAAAAAGGTTCTGTAATTTCAAGAAGGTGCTTCTTTTTTCTTTCTTTCAGGCCACTAATGCATCTCATGTAAGCAAATGCTAGGTGGGAGATAGGCTGATTAAAAGCCACTACCCCCTCTCTCTTTTTATTTTTGCAAGGTTCCTACAGAGACTCCTGGGAATGGAAATTTGTTACAAGGGTTAAAGAGTTCACTCTTGGTGATCCATAGTCATCCTCACAGAACTGCAGTTTCCAGAGTTCCCTTGGAGAGTTGTTATTACACCAGCTTTAAATTTATGTACACGTTATGTTCAAAGGCCTTGTATTCAGCATCACTAAATCAGAAGCACAGGAGATTTTTTTTGGGGGGGGTTGTTTTCATTCACAGAGCTATTAGTCTCATGTTTCACTGTCTTCTTCTTGTGATGTCTCCTGTGCTTTGTGATATGAGGCTAGAAACGGGATGCTTGGAGCTGGTGACAGCAGAGCCATCTGCCGGATCAGGGCTCTTTCAATCGCCCACCAAAGTTGGGCTCCGCACAATTGGCATACATTTCCCCCCCTGACACTCTTGATCATTTGTTTGGTTTGATTAAAAGCCCACAGTTGTCTGTGGGTGAGGTTTAGAAGTGGACGGGGGAAATGAAATAATTTTTAAACGATCATCAGAGCTATTTGTAGTGGATGGCTTTGTCCTCCACTGTTATCCACTGTTATCATGCAGCAAGCTACAGCAGCTAGCAATGACAGTTAATGATATCCAAGTTCACAAAATCCATGCCCAGGTTCGCTTTTTTCTTCTCTGACCACCTTGCCTCCCTTGGGGTAAAAGGCACTGCCCTCGGTTGGTTCTGCTCGTTCTTCCAAGGACTCTCTCAGAGGGTTGCTATCGGAGAGGAGATGACTACCTGATGAGACTTGAATTGTGGGGTCCCACAGGGTTTGATCCTCCCTCCGGTGTTATTTAACATGTGTGTGTTTGTGTGTGTGTGTGCACCCTCTTGCTTAGTTCGTCAGGTTTGGAGTTGGGTGCCATTGATCTGCTGTTGACAGTCAGCTCTTCCTCCTGCAGGATAAGCAGCTGGCAGCAGGGCTCTCGGCACTATCCCAATGCCTGGATGCAATAGCCCAGTGGTTAAGAGGGAGCTGGCTGAACTTGAATCTATCCAAGACATAGGTCATGTGGATGGGAAAGACTGAGATGCTAGCTGGAAGATCACTCCTGAGACTTGATGGTGTCCAGATGACAGCTGTAGACTCTGTAAAGAGCCTCGTGATGTTGTTGGATTCTGCGCTATCATTGGGTGAACAAGTGTCCACGATAGCACGGTCAGTGTTTTTTCACCTACGCCAGGCATGCTAGCTGCCTCCTTATTTGTGGGTCAGACCTTGCCACATTGATCCATTGCAACAGTCACCTCCAGATTGGACTACTGCAATTCACTCTATGCGGGGCTACCCTTGAAGACGCTTCAGAAACTGCAGGTGGTCCAGAATGCAGCTGCCAGGTTGCTGACTGGAACATCACGGTCAGCTTATATTACTCCAATTCTGCAGCAGCTGCACTGGCTCCCAGCTCATCTCCAGATCCAGTTCAAGATGTTCGTGTTAACCTTTAAAGCCCTTAATGGTCTGGGACCCTCATACCTATGAGCCTGCCTCTCCTGTTACAACCCCCCCTCCCTTGGGTCAGCATCTAGGGGCCTCTTGCAGGTGCCTGGCCCCAGGATGGCTCAGTTAGCTGTAATCAGGGGAAGGGCCTTCTCAGTTGTGGCCCCTACCCTGTGGAATGCACACTCGGACGACACCCATACCATGCCGGACTTGTTTACTTTCCGCAGGGCGTGCAAAGCTGAATTGTTTAGGTTGGCCTTTGGAGGGTAACCACATGTGTGGGCTGTTTTAATGGTGTTGTGGTGACAGCCACATATTTTAATATTTTAATGTTTATATTTTATATTTGTTATTTGTTTTTTATGTTGTTTCTACCTTATTGGTTTTAATGCTGTAAGTCGCGACAAGATCCTTCAGGTGAGCGGCGACTCAAAATATAATAAACAAATAAATATTGGGAGAAAATAACTCTTTTCCAAGTAGCCATTTACCAACACATTGGAACTTTTTAAAAAGGATGTGTGTTTTCAGGTATCCATGGGTGTTTTCCTGACCAGCTCTGCCTCCTGTTCTGTTGCATGGATACAGTTGGTTCTGGGTCTGTATAAGCACAGGGAGCGTGGCATCCTGGAGCCATTTTGCCGTTGCTGACAACCTTCAGCTACAGAAAGGATGATATTGTCAGATCTCTGGCATGAACTGGGTGGCCCTAACTTTAGTGAGTTTTTTTGAACGGAAAACTCAAGAGGAAGGTTTCCAGAGCTTTCTCTTCCCCACCAGCTTTTGGAGTCTGGTTTCAGAAAGAGTTCAGCTGCTCTCCAGTTGGTGTGTTTGT